ACCCCAGCTGGGCAACGCTTACCCCTGCTCCTGCCCCCTCCCTCACCACAGGGTGTGTTGATCCGCCCTACCCTGCACACCCCTTCCCTCCCCTTTCACCACAACAGAGTTACTAGCTGCACACAGCTGTATTAGAAATCAGATCAGTATTGCCCAGTATGCCTCCTTAAATATCAGCTATCGGTATCAGCCCCCAAAATGTCTTATCGGTGCACCCCTAACAGTTTTAATAAATACAAACAGCTTTGGGGAAGGTGTGCTATTTTTTTTTACCATAAATTGATTTACTGTCTTTAGGTATTTGCAGCATGTGATGAAGACAGCAAAGGATATCTAAGCAGAGAGGACTTCAAGGTTGCTGTAGTAATGCTGTTTGGTTACAAACCCTCAAAGGTATAACTTATTTTACTGTCAAGCTTGTAAGGTTATATTGCTACTTGGAATACCACATCTAATAGGTTCAGTAAAGATGGGCTTTTACTCTTATTAACGAAGCCATGATTGTATTCATGCTCTGTTAACTGCATAAACTGAAAAGACCAAATCGTTATGGTTTTCTCTGGGAAGATCATCACATTCATAATAATTTGACAAAATTATTTCTTGTTCTGAACAGGTGTGTAAGGTGGGCCCAGGAGCGCAGGGAGAGTGTAGCGAGCCTTGTTCTCTTTAAAATGTGATATGAGATAAAAATGAATGTTTTAATATATATCTACTCCATTTATTTTTTTTAGTGAGGCTTTTTCAAATTAAATTGTCATTTCCTTTGAACAAAAATAAGTTCTTGCAAACCTAACTTCTTTCTGCTTCAAGCACAAGGTGGATTTCTCAGACATGCATTATTTGCGTATGTTTACATATGCACAGATAACTCTGGTAATTCACCACTATAGTTATATATATAATTAACTGTTAGTCCAATTCTCCTTTGGCCCTTCTTTTGCTACCCCTCCCCAAATATGAACTCCTGATAATTGTTCACTGCTGGAAAATTTGTCATTATTTGCATTCTCCCTGGAGTAGCAAGTTAACAAGAGCTTACCATATAACAAAAGAGCTGACTAAAAGAAAATACTATATTTCATAGACAATTCTTCCCCCACTTCCCCCTTTAGTTTCTTGAGTGCTAAAAAAAATCTTTTTTTCCACTAAGAAATTGTTAATTCCCATGACTAGATAACTGACAAACAATAGACTAGAACTTTACTAAATGCTACAAAAAACACTTGCCTACAGCTCAAACAGAACAAAGTATAGCTCAAAGGGTAACTCTCTTTCCCCTAAATAAGTCTGGATCAGATCTAATAATTAACTTAGGCCCTTAAAATGGGACCCAGGGAAAATTTAGGTGCCCAAGTCCAGAACTGTGATCCTGATGACCCTGCTTATCTATCACCCAACTCTGAATGTTCCCGAACTCTAGAGGAGTCTTAGGCCATGTATACACAGTCAGCTCACAATGCTCAACTACAGTGGCTTCAAACATGCCATGAAGCTTTGCAGGGGCTGCCTTCTAAAACAGAAATGGTGTAGCTGTATTTACACAGACCATTGGATGGGCTGATTAGCACTACTGACTTAGTGCAGTAATTAGCAGGCCAAGCACCATACTCATTAGTCTGCCAGCATTCCTGTTAAACTACACTGCTTCTGGTTTTGGAGATGTGCCTGGCAACACCACTGCTAGGTACAGTAAGCTTACTGTGTTCACACGGCCTTTTTGATGTTAAAGTTCCCCAGGCACTCAGAGTTGCCCCTCTGCTTATGCCCAAGACAGAGGTGGGTGATGATTTTGGCTGGAGGGCCACTTAACGAGTTTTGGTGAGCTGTCAAGGGCTGCAAGGCGCCCTGCACCAAGTCACCATCTTGGGACAGGAAGTCCCACCCCGTAGCCCCAACCTTTGCTACTGGAAGTCCCTCCCCTTGCCCCTTGAAGTACTCCTTTTGGGAAAGGGGTTTACCATCTTGGAACTGGAAGAAAAAAATTATATACTAAATATCAAACATCCACAATAACGTATTTTAATTTTATTTTTAAAAATATTTTTTCCTGATATGCATGCGTTTGTGTGGTATATATAGAAATGATTGCATCATAACTCACAATAAAGTCTTATTCTTGTATATTGCAGGGGGGATGTGGAGGGGTGGGGGGTATGGGGTTTGTGGAAGGCTGTGGGTGTGTGTGTATGTGGCGTGTGGGGGTATGTGTGGTGGGTAGGTATGGGCGGTTTGTAGGCGGGCGTTTGTGGGGATGTATGGGTGGGTATGGGGTTTGTCAGGGGCTGTGGGATGTGTGGAGGAGAGAGTGGCTGGAGGTGTGGGAGGGTGAAAGTGGGGAATGCATGGGGGGTGTGGGTGAATGTGTGTGGTAGGGTGGGTATACCCAGCAGTGAGTGGGGGCTTCCCCAGAGGTGCACAGATCTGTGTGGCGGAGGGTGTGGGTAGGTGTGGTGTTTGTGGAGTGTGTGTTTGTGTTGGGGACAGTGTGGTCATCAGGTTTGCGGGAGAGGGTTTGTGAGTATGGTGGGGTGTGCATGGGTGCCCCCCCGCACATGCCCCCCTCAGCCAGTTAGCACCCGCCCCTGCCCTGCAACAGTCCAGAGCCCGAGTGCCCTGCAGTCCCTCACTGCCACCCCCAACAGTTCATAGCTCCAGCCCTGCCCCATGCCTATTCTCACCATAGCAGAATTGGAGTAGCCAGAACCCATGCACACAGCTCCTACCCCACTGTGCCCCATGCCTGCTCTGTACTGCCCGTCTGTGGCTCCTCTTGCTGCCCCCTGAACATGTAGCAGAGCTGGGGTGGCTTCATGGCTGGACTGCCTTTCTAGAAAGGCAGTCCAGCCACAGAGCTGCCCCAGCTCTGCTACATGTCCAGGGGGCAGCAGGAGAAGCCATGGATGGGCAGTGCCTAGACCTGGAAGGACTAAGGGACCCGCCGCAGGCCAGATCCAGCCCAGGGGCTGTATTTTGCCCACCTGTGGCATAAGATCAGTGCCATGACAAGGATGTTTGTTGCCTGGGGCAAAGCCCACAGCAGCAGCCTGCCCTTGCCCCGCACACAGCTTTGGGGGGGGCACATCCCCCCCCCCCCCCCCCCCCCCCCCCCCCATCCTTGCCTGGAAATGCACATAGCAGCAGAAGCTGCCATCCCCACGCCCCTGGAAATGACCTGCTTGCAGCTCTATCCCGTGCCTTCCCCTGGCTTGGGAGCACCTGTTGTTGCCCCCTCGCTTCAGCACCCGTGGCAGTCAATCTGCTGGCTCCTCGTTCCCCCCCCCCCGCGCACACACTTTGCTACATCACTTTTTAAGATCATCCATGGTCTAAAACAGGGGCGAGCAATTATTTTGAGCAGAGGGCCACTTCCCAAGTTTTGGCAAGCTGTCGAGGGCCACATTTCCCTCTCTGGTGCAGGGAAGCAGGAACAGCCCCATGGTCCCAGGTCAGAAGCCTCTGCTAGGCAGGGGCTTTTGGTTGGTGGGGCAGGGCTGGGTGGGCCTTGCTGCTGGGTCCTACTGCCAGCTTTCCCTGGGTCCTACTGCCCCTGGCTCTTGTCATCTTTGACAGGCAGCCAGGAGCAAATAAAAATTAATTTTTCTAAATTTTTTAGGGGCCCTGTGGGCCAAATCTGGCCCCCAGCTGTATTTTGCCCACTCCTGGTCTAAAAGATAGGCTGTCCTCAGCCAGCAGTCCCTCACAGGCGTCTTTTGATGGGTGTTCCCCAAATGCATACAATACCACTGGGTTCAACATACCATATAGGGGCAACTATTGTTTAATGAAGAGCTAGAGAAGAAATGAGGTGGTTTGGACAATCACCACTGCTGCCAGGGAACTGTGAAGCTTGGGTTCAGCTTCTTCCTCCTCAGAGAATTCAGACCTGTAATTCGCACATCAGGAGAGCATCTGCTGAATCCTTGAACCCATATCCCATTCTCTTGAATGTAGAAAGGAATGCAAGGTTTGTGAAGCTAAGAAAAGAGAACAGAAGAGATTATGTGACTTCCTGGTCAGTGGTTAAGACACTCATGTGGGAGGGAGTGCTATGATCTAAAAGATAGGCTGTTCTTGTCCTTCCTCCAGGAAGGTTTAATGTTAAGTACAGAAGTAGTCTTGAGGGAATGTATGCATTTTGCTGCTACCTTGACTAAGATGCCTGAAGAATGGATTTGACATGCCCCTGTTCTTAGTGTTTCCCTGCTGACTCTAGTGCTAGATAGTTCCCTCTTTAGCTTGCTGGCTGTTTTGGATCAGATTGAGATACCTAACTCTCCTCATACACTGTCTAAGGAGACTAATATGATGCCTAAAAGTTAAGTGTTAAGCGACTTGTACAAATTTATTCAGCATGACAGAATTACTCCACTTCCAACTGAGTGGAGTTTGTCTTCTGTTGCCCAGGAGCTGGCTAAAGGAGTTTGGACACACTCTTGTGCCATTAGTTGGCTGTAAAGTACATTTAGCAGCTGCTGTCTTCCCAGAGTATATTTCAGGCTCTGGCAGTAGATGCTATAGTGAAACCACATGATGTTGCCAGAAGTGCATGGATGTACACGTGCTCTGGTGGCTTGGTGTTGGTACCTCTCTGTTGTCAGAACTTCTTGCTGCCAGACCAGGTAAGTGTGGATAGATGGCTAACTACTGTATTGTATCTGGCCCAAGTGACTATACTCAGGGACTACAGTAACAACCCTGATCTCCAAATGTCCAAAGCATCCTGAGATGGTGGCAAGTTCTTTCAGCTCTTTTCCAGGGCAACAGGAATTGGTTGCAGGTAATTGACATGTCTTAGGTTGAGGTAAAATTGTCTCGTCAAGCACAAAGCAACACAATAATGTTGATTTGCAAATAGAAGTGCCCAAAGCAAATTCACCTGTAAAAACATTTTATGCAATGTTAAAGGAAAAATTACAACATTCTTTAGTTTTAAAAATAAAATAGATTTTGCCTGAGCAGTATGTTTTTCTGAGAAAATATTAAGTTACATGTAATAACATGAAAAAATTGCATACAAAATGTTGATTTAAAATACAAAATTGTTCTTAAATTATAAGAATGTCATATGCATTTTAAAAGTTAAATTTTGGGGGTTTATGTTTTCTAATACCTGGTGTCACAAGATATCACACACTTTACTGGGTGATATACAAAGTAAGCAATGAATTTCTTAGTGTGGTGTGCTATCCTGATAGAGTCAGGATATCCTTTATAGTCTGTTTTTTTCAGAATCATTTTATCTACCTATGTTGACAAACATTTTAAATAAAATACTATTTTTATAAAAATAATTTTAAAACAGGAATTGCAAACTAATTGCCATTAAAATAAAATTTTTAGTAAAATATTAGATCTTATTCCCACGATGGGTTAAAATGGGAAGAAATAAGACCAATCATTTTTCCTAGAATAACATTTCTATATATTTTGTCAGCACATAGATACTAACACAATAGCTGCCTTGGATTCACTATCTTGGTGGAATGAATTGCAATTAAAAAAGATTTTGTATGCAGAGCATTTTCCTCAATGTTTTGTCAGTTTCAGTAATCACCATATTGTGGGATGAATACTAAAGTATGAAATGGACTCTCTCAGTTTTCTGAAGGCAGCTATCTGTAACTGGGATGAAAAGAATTTTCACTTCTAGACATCTGATGTGCTGACCTCCTTCCCTTCCCTCCCCACCCCCAGTTATCTGGGCTGATTAAAATGCTCTAGAAAGAGTCTTCTTAATAGTCAAACTGTTGCAGTTAAACTGTCATTAGTATGCCAATTCAGCATATTAAGTTACAAACCAGGGATAAAACACCTTTAAATAAGCAATGGTGTAACAAAAGCATCACAATTAATCTATAGATGATACACCACCAGTCACTGTTCTCAACCACATTCTCCTAGCCCCCAGAAACAGCATAGTAAAATGGGTCTCAGAGGAAGATTCATCCAGTATATTGGCTGGTAGAAGGATTCTTAACATACAGGGTGTTGGATCCTGTGTTGAGCTCTCCTTTTTGTCTATTGGCGTCTTAGTATATTGAACCTATTCAGTCTAATCTTCCTAAGACTTATTAGCCTCCAGCACTAGCTCTTTCTTTGGCTTACATAGAGGGCAGGGCACAGTTGCACCTTATAGACTTAACAAATTAGAGAGTCACAGATCTTTTCTAAGCAACAAAACTTACACATCTCTGAATTAATTATTTTATAAGGTGCACCTGTGCCTTGCCTTTTGCTTGACTTCATACTAACATGACTAATTACCTCTATGGCTTTTGTTGCACACTTCCTGGACATAAAGTTTGCTTGTTACCTATTTGTGCACCACATGTACTGCAGATGCTTGAGTAGCTCAGTCCCTTTTCCAGACACCATGCCTTATGATGGTCTGTGGTTTACAGTTTACCTTTCTAGTGACATGTGCTAGTTCAAATGCATATTACACATACTATGTGTAATTTCTGACATAATTATGTTTTCCTTTCTTTATCTCTTGTGATATCTAGATTTAACTAAAATGAACAAACTTCCTATATACTTCTTCTTAGCTCAGTTTCTCTAGCACACTGAATCGTTCTTTGAGATTTGTTTAGAATCCTCTACAGTTCCTGTTGCTGGTAGGTGTTGTAAGGCTTCGGTCCTTCTCGGGTCGATGCCTTGTTCCCTAGCAATGTCAGGGTGAAACTGCACCCTGGGGCCCCCTAGATGGTTACAGGTGCTGCCCCTACTCACCTGCCATGTCTTTGATGTTGATTGATTGGGAGGCAGTCCCTGTCGGTGGTCCAAAAGGTGGCTAGACTCTGGTCTTTCTTCATGGGGCTCCAAACCTCCCCTTTACCCCACCCTTACCACATCCATGGCCTTGGAAGATGCTGCTCCCTGCAGCCTTCCTTGGAATGATCTCTTCTCATCCACGCTACCCGCCTCTACCTGGGTTAGGTCTTTCTGGCCGTCAGTTTTTCCCAGGTTGATCCCTGGCCTCCAGATTACCTTTCGAGCAAACTAAATCTGCCCCGGCCTGGGATAACAGTAACTTAGAATAACTCTCACCGCAACAAAAGGTATTAGGCGTCTGCCGGCGGGCGCCTAGGATGCTGGCTCCCAGGATCCCTCTGACTAGGAGCTAATCACTCCTGTTCCTACCACCTGGTGGTACTTGCCACTTCCTTGTAGGGCTCTGATACAGCTGCTGCCGGCTCCTCGCTCTTCACTGGGCTACCCGCGGGGCTCAGCCATCGCTTGTTGCCCCTCCCCGTCGCGGTACCTGATTACTCTGCTGTTGTGAGGCTCTGCTTGGACCAGTCATAGAGAACCGCTTCTCTCCGCTGTAGCTCTCCAGCAACCCTTGGCTCCCAGAGCCCAATTCCTTGCTCCGCTTCCTTCCCCGCAATGGGGGCCATGGCCGCCTGGCTCCGCTGCCTGCGTCTCCCGGCCGGCTGACTCCTCTTCCAGCTGCTCTTTGAGCAGCCCACACACCTCTGAGGCCCCGCCCCCAGGACTTGCCAATTCACAGGCTCAGGCAGCTCCGGAACTGCTGAGCCTGCACCGGCATTTCCCTGCAGCTGCCACTTGTCTCCACCCCGTGGTAAGTATCGGGGCTTGTTGGGAGGGATCCAGGGCCATGTTGGGGAGGCTTTTGCCTCCCCTCTGTCAGTTCCCTTCCTGCATATAGCTGCTGCTTCAAGATATGAAGTTTGTCTTCTGCTCTCTGCCAGAATGGGCCAGTATGAAGTACTTCCTTTTATAACTCCCAAACCAAATTAGGAGTTATAATAATAATAATAATAATAATAATTGTAACAGCAACAGTTATTACAGTCATTTATCACAGATTTTACTCTTGTAGGGCACAGCTCCTTACTCGTGTAAGTAGGCCCTTGCCACCAGGTGATGGGCAAGCCAGTGATAGCCTTTTTGCATTGAGCAAACAGTTACCTCAGGATGCAGTTGACTATTTTTTTGCAGAGTAACTTTAGACTCTTATAATGAGGCTGTGTGTCATATTTTCAGTCTATTTTTGTACAGAAAAAATAATTTTCTCCATAGGAATTATGTCATTTGTCAACACTGCTTGGCAGCTGGTCCTGTTCAGTTTCATAGGCAATCAGACCTAACCAGGTGATAAGTTTCTTAGTTACCAGCCCAACCATATAGAATCAGTTTTCTCAGTTTGGCCACCTCATTTATTATGTCCATTAAGTTGCTCAGGCACACCTATTCAAACATTAGTGAATCTAGTCCAACTCAGATGGGCAGGTGCCACTCCCCTGTATATAAATCAAAACACAGTAAAAGGTTGTTGTAAGACATGGTCAATTCATAAAATTGAGCTGGATTGCAGTAGTTGTACTTAGATCCCCTATGTCTTCACATGGGAACTTTAAGAATGGAGGTAGAAAATGGGAGTTCCCAGAAGATTTTCTCCAATTTGTCCTCATGTTTAAAAAAATACCCTACATATTTATTTGTACCTCATTCTGCTGTTTCAGCGTATACATTCCAAGGAAACATCCTTTTAGAAATAATTTGTTTCAAGATTGACTGTTGAAAGAGCAAATTCTTCCTTTGTTTAAAGGAAATGGCTAATTTGGACACAGTACCCACAACATACATACATACTGAACTTTATACACAAATAGTTCTTTTAAAGTCAGTAGGCCTATTCACTTTGAAGTATTGGTCTTAGTAACAGAATACTTTACAGGATAATCTGTTCTTACAAGACCAGAATTGAAGTGAAGTACAGTTAGTATAAACTGAAATACATATAGTGGTCCAAATTTATCACTGGTACAAGAAAGGTGCCTTGCATTGCCTGCTATATTTTTTCTGTTCCAGGTGGAAGTAGATTCAGTGATGGCTTCTTTACAACAAAAAAATTCAGGTACCATTCAAATAATTTTTTCCATTTTTTGTACTCTTCTTATTCATGATTTCTGATATATAAAACTTAGATTATATAGAAATTTAAAAAACTTGATCTAAATTAACGACAAATGAGTTGACTCAGTTTGCGGGCTAGAAGCTGGCTATAGAAAAAAATAAAACTAACTGGTTTATTTTCATTTTCCCAACTGATAGAAATTCAGGAAGTAAGCAAAATTTGCATTGGTAAAGGATTATCATTATTTAACAGTGTCTGTTTAATGCTGCTCCATCATTTGGTGGTTGGGGAGGTAAGGAGTAGTAGAATCGTCTCTGTAAGTCTTAATCCAGGAGCAAATAGGGTATTAGTTCTTTACCTGGATTTTTGTGTGGAAATAGGTACACCTGACCAACAAACAAACAAAACATTGTAGTGACACTCACATGGCTTTTTAAGTGTCCAGGAAGTAGTTGGAGATCTATTTTACCTAGAAGGATGCCTTTTGATGTAGAGAAGAAACTCTGTGCGCTTTAATAGTAGCAGATAATTTGCCATCACTAAAAGATCAATGAATGGGTGGCACTGTACTTCAGAAGTAATTCCATAAAAGGAAAAGTGTGCATTTTAATCTTCTAGTCAGGTATGTTACTCTGAAACAGAAAAACATAAAGGAGTGGCAGTCTGTCTTGCTTTTTTTAAGGTTTCACTTTCATAGTTATCTGATTGCATTGCTTATGCAAGCAAGTTTAGTACGAATTGACAACCTCTGTTAAAACATGCTTATAAAGAGCTCAGTATTTGAAAACAGCATGTCTTTGTAGTGCTAGAAATTGAGAATTAATAGTTTTTTAATGTGATGCTTTCATAAAGTAACAATGAAAGAAACATTGGAAACTTGTATGCTCATAGCTTAAAGTTTGAATTGAGACAGCAGATGGAGCTGAAGGACCTGTATTTCTAAGCCACTTAAGAAAGTTAGGTTACAGAAAAGTTGTAAGAAAAGCAAAGCACAGAGCTCTTGTTATGTTGTTTTGTTTAGAAAATCCCTGGAGAATACAGTGACATTGTCCTTCAAAAATTACTTCAGCTGTATGTAGTACTATGAGGAGAAGGATTAGACTTATGTGGGAATTGTGAATTGGAATTTTATTTATTTTGGTGGAGATTTATGCTTTTAAAACCTAAGATTTAGTATTTACATAGTAAAAAACTCTTTGCCCTTTCAGAAATACCATATAGTTAATTAGGGTAGAATTTAGAAAATAGGTTTGTATTCCAAGTCCTTTTTAGCCAATTGAAAGAAAAATCAGGTAAACTTAAAGAAAATGTAAAACTCATTTTTTAAAGTAAGTGGCGTAACCAATGCAGTGTAGCCATGTACTTTTATTAGGAGACTTCTAGGAAACCATACCTGAGGCTATAGAGCATTTCAGAGAGATCACAGAGTGCTGGGAATGGGGCTAGATATATTATCTATGTAATATCCTCTACATCTTTATCCATGGAATGCAAGTGTTATTGACTTTGGCAAGACTGTCTTTGATCTGCTCTCTGAGCCCAAAGAACTACAATTTGGCAACTAAAAAGAATGAAATAAATGAAAAAAAATATACAGAAGATTTATATTAAAGAATGGTAGAAGAAAAAAAGCTAAATGGAAATAGAATTTAAAATTAGCCTGAATATTATCAATTCTATTAGAATATTTCCAAATAACTTTTCCTGCAGAAAACTATTGTTTCCACTTTTTTCTCATATTACTTAATATAATCAAATTTTATATTGCCAGATTTATGCATATTTGCAGGGGGAAATAAAACTGATATTATTTTTGTGGGGCAGGTATATTCACATTTTTCATCTTCGTAGGTGTGTTACTTGAAGAGTTTTTAAACCTTATGACTACAAAGAAGTCGGCTCAGTTGTATCACAGTGAAATAAGACAGATATTCACAGCTTTTGACATGCAATGTAAGTGTTTCTTCCCCGTGGAATATTTTAAGAGATTTTGGAGCAAATGTACAAAATACAGCATTAATGCAAAATAAAATGTGCTTGGGAACATTTAGGGCACTGCATAAGTGAAGTAAGTTAATGATAGCGTTACAGGTATCTGATTAACAGAGGCAGGGACACGAGGCAGTTGAGGCCAGTAGCAGGTTACAGGGGTGTGTGTATTTCACTGGGTGCTCTCTAGCTGATGAAGAAAATTCTTTAACTTTTCATATGTGCTGCCCATTGTAACTACCTTCATGCAGTGGTGAGGTTACAGCCTCGCTCAGCTTACAGGTGCTCCCTCATATACTGGTCTTCTATTCCACTTATGCACCCATGCCACTTACTTTGCAAGTTTTTCTCCAAAAGGTGGGTATGGATCTTTTTTTCCCTCTCCTAACTGACCAATGGGTGAGAGCTAAAGCAGAAAGATGTTCTCTGGTTCATTCCAGTGCTAGGTGTGGTGGTTCTTCTTTTCTGGTAGATAGATTCCTTTTTTTCTTCTCTGTATCAAAGAAAACAGCTTGAGCACCAGCAAGGCAGTGGGCATATAATATACCCACGATCCCTTGCTACACTATCTTCCTACTTCAGTTGAAACAAGAGCATGATGAAGTATAGGAAAGAGCCAGTCAAGTATCCTCTGTAGCCTTTTGCTCTGAACTGCATGTAGTAACTTTAGAAGTCATCTCCCCAGCAAGAGACTAAGTGCAACAGCACTTAATTTTGCTCATTATATCTGGGTTTGCCCATTGTATCTCCCCTTTGCTTCTCACTGGGCACATCTACACGTGACACTACGTCACCATAGCAATGCATTATGGTGATATAGCATCCGCAGGCATCTACACATGACCCACAGCTACTTTGCCATAGCAACATGCTCCCTAGGTATAGCACACCACTACAGCGAAGTAGCTGCTAAAAATAACTGCGCTACACATATGGTGCAGTACGGGCTGTTACTGTGCTGTGATTTAGTACTTCCAAAAGGAAGCATTAAATCATGGCGCAGTAACAACGTCTCCATAGAGACACGGGCAGACATGCCAATCCTGTTTGAGTTAGCCTTCTTTTTAGGAAGTCATAATTGTAAATGGACATTCTTTTCTCTTAGATGATGTACTAATGTTACATATTCAGTATGTAGACTTCAAATGAGTTGTGAAGGGAAAATTCATTTACATACAACTGGAGAGCAGTTGTTAATTAGGAAGTACGGCAAGAAAAGCTGAAACGTGTTGAAAATAACTTGTTATATTTTAAAGTCTTTATTTGAAAGCTTCCCTGGTATGAATCTGTTTTTAAAAACTAATTCATTATAAAATAAGATAAATATGGCTGTTGCTGGTTCTATGAACAAAGTTCTTAGTAGTAGGCAGTAAATTGCCAGTACAAAAATCACTTTGGATTGTTCCTTATTCTAACCCCTCTATATGCATGCTGGAACTTTCTTAAAATATTTGGTTTGCAATTACAATAACAACTTCAAAGAATGCATTTAGAGCCTCTGAATCTACTGTATAGACATATAAATATATTAAATATTTAGTTTTTGAGCAGGTATAAAACTTTTTAACATCTTTATTTTTTTCTCATTGAAAAAGGTAGAGGATTTCTGACTTTGGAAGATTTCAAAAAGGCCTTTGATTCCGTTGCTCCAAAATTACCCAAAAGAATCATAATTGAAGCCTTCAGGTAAGTCTAACACAAAGATCTCAATTCTCATTCTTATATAACAGTCTTATTAATCTATTTGAATTGAGTGAAAATTGTTCTAGAATGGTAAATTATGTGTTTCAAAGCAAGGCAACAAGCATCAACACTTGAATATCGAGAGTATCCTTGTATGTATAAGAAAACATTCAAGGAATGTTTAGATGATGTGCTCAGGTCCCTTCCGACCCTAGAAACTATGAAAAGGGATGTTTCTGTTTTTTGAATATATACTGTTCAGTCTGCTTAAGCAGTATGAAATATGGAAAAACAATTGTTAGCCTACGATGTCTCTTCAGAAGTCCAGAAATACTCACTCTTGCATTATTCTGACTTGGAAACTGAGAGGAGGACTTCAGAGCTATCATAAGGGACTGTAGGAAAAAAAATTAAGCCTAAAAATATCTTACAAGCCGAAAGTTTAATTTACAAAGGGGACTTGGGTAATTTGGGAACTTTTTATTCTAAATCTGCCCTCATAATTCAAAAGTATTTAGGGAATTCATGTATTAGGAGAGGTGTTTCTTCCGTTCACTTCAACTACACGTTTTGAATGATTTTGGAAATGTCTGCTGCTCTTTGTGACTTGTCACACAATCTGAGTCCCAAGATTACATTCTAGTGTTATGAAAATGAAGTTTTGTTTGAACTAATATAGTTCTCTATATAGTTCATTCCTAACTTCCTCCCCCCACCAAAAATTAATGAAAATGTTGCAGTAATAGTAGTATGCATTATATTGAGCATTAATGAATTTCAGGTATATAGTATGTCTATTTGATATCTTTTGGAATCTATTCATAAATTAATTAAAGATGACTATCACAGTAGAGGAGGAATCAGTTGTATCTACAGAATATCATAGAATCAAAGGACAGGAAGGGACCTGTAAGATCATCATGTCCAGCCCTCTGCCATGGGCAGGAGGTTATATTGGCCTCAAACAAGTTCAACAAGGTGTTTGTCCAGCTTCCTCTTGGACACCTCCAAGGATGGCAACTGTACTACCTCTGCTGGGAGCATGTTCCAGATTCTAGATACCCTTACAGAAAATAAGTTTTTCCTTATGTCCAACCTTTTTATTTAACTAGGTTGTGCCAGTTGGTCCTCACCCTACCAAGGGGTGCCTTTCTGAATTGTTGCTCCACTAGATCTTGGTGCTCACCCTTGACATACTTGTTGACAGCTATCAAGTCACCTCTTAGTCTTTTGCTCAGACTGAACAAACCCAGTTCCCAGAGTCTCTCCTCATTGGGCCTGTTCTCCAGGCCCCAGTTATATGGGTGGCCCTTCTCTGTACCCTTTCAAGCTTATCCACATCCTTCCTGAAGTGCAGTGCCCAGAACTGGACACAGTACTCCAGCTGTGGCCTCACCAGTGCCGAATAGAGGGGAAGGAGCAGTTCTCAAGTTCTGTTCACAACACATCGGCTGATAATTAAAATAGGGTGGAGGAAATATGAGTGGAATGACTCCGGAGTAACTAGTGTGTTGAAAAACCCTCTTATCTTGCTGCATTAAATATTTAAACATGTCACGGTAGGGGCAATTATTTAAAAACAAATATTTTCAGGGATTTTTTTTTATAGGATAGAGTTCATTGCAAGTATGTGTATAAAACAAGTTATCAGACTGACGTGAAGCTGAGCTATTTGAAAACCACAAATGCTTTTTATGGTACATCTTATGTTACAGTAAGAAAGAATGCAACAATCCCAATTATTATAAAAAGAAAAGATATATATTGTTAATCATGCCTTGAAAAATTTTGAAAAAGCTGCTTTTTGTGTTCTTCATTGCTGTTATTTTGAAGACGTGGCACACAAGTGAATGATTATATATAGCCAATGCTGGCTTGAGGCAGTGGGCCTTGAGGATGTTTCATTTAAGGTTTTGTGTTTGGTATATGAAGTAGCTAATACTTGATTTCTTCCATGCTGTAATTGCTTAAAATTCTTCTTTTGTTATGTAACAAACACGTATGGACTTTTTTTAACATCAATATTGGTTAAAGTAAAGTATTACTATTTTTAGTATTTTATTCTGTGCTTCTTGATATACTGTTGTGTTGTTAGTTATTTTGAGAAGTATTAAATACAGTGAAAAGTGTCTCAGAAACTGTAAAACCCAGAAACCTACTTAAGCCAGAAAATTTCTGTCCTAGTGTGCCTTAGTGGGAATTCAGGATAAACTGTCTGATGGGGAAATGGAAAGAAAGGCAGGTTTCTAGCTTTTACTGTTTCCTTCTTTGTCTGGTTTCACTGTCCTGTGGTGCTTTTTTGGCAGCAGGGATGTGCCAACCTGCAAGCTGCCCCTTCTTGTTGGTGCTGCCATATCTCCATTGCTGCTCAAGCTGCAGCAGTGGGGAAAGAACAGCCTGCAAGCTCTCTCAGCCATGGCTGATTGCATGGAGGTAAGGGTGACGGAGCTCCCTGCAAATAGCAGCAGGATCTGATTGGGTGATGTAGACCCGCTGCCCCCACCTTAACCTCTGCTGTTGGTTAGAGGGAGGCCCCAGTTCTGCAAGGAGTAGTGCTGTAGGGCAGCAGTGTGTGTCGGTGTGGTGGGGAACTGACCTGCAGCCAGAACAAGCTGGGTGCAGTGGTACAGCCAGCCGAATTAGAGCTGTGTCATCTATGCCACCCTAATCCCCTCTCCAGCTCCCCCACCCTCTGTCCTCCCTGGTCCTACCATTCTAGTGATTGGTGGTACTGGGCAGGGGGTTGCACTCCCCAACTGGTAGGCAGGCTATTAGGGTGCCAGGGGGAGAGAGCACTTCTGCTCCTCTTGAAAGACAGTAACCTGTCTAAACTGGAACTTTTTCCTGTTCTGGTGCAATTCTATCTTCAACAGGTTTCACTGTGTATTCACACTTGGGTTTACATTTAGTTTCTAAGTCTGTTGGGCCTAGTCCTACTTCCAATGAAATCAAGATCAAGATTCGGTCTCTCACATGGCAGAATATAACAGAATGAGTGAGGAGAGAACAAAGTTTTCTGGTGTGGCATTTCATTGCTGAAGGAAAAGATGGGGGATCATGCTTTTTTTCATTGATACATAACACCTACATTTTAATACTGAATAGCTGGAAAAAGTACTTCGTTGTATATTTTTTACAATAAGAAGGACAATGTCATAAATTGTAGTCCTGACTGTAAGGTATAGCAAAACATAGTGATCAAGATGTGTCATGCTGCAGTATTGGCAAGTAATACATGTATTAAATTTGTGTATTTGTTAATATGATATGATATTTGTATTATGCTCTTCTCTAACTTTCTCGCTCAAATTGAAGTTGGCTATGCTTTTGGACTGCAATTCATAAGATTATTTTTCACCTAATTCCAATTGCATAAGAACAGATTTTACCACACTATGTGAGTATCAATTTATTCTGAAATCAATAAAGTAAACCTGTATTCTAAGGACTATCTTAATCTTAAGATATCATGGCTCGAAAGCTACAGTAAACCAAATGATAGAGTAAAGCCATGGATAAGTGGGCTAAACACTGAATATATTTGCCAAAAGAATCAATACAGTTACACCACAAAATCCAGATGCCACACACACAGAAAAATAAACAGAGCAACATATGTTTTCATATATATAGTTTTAAATATTCTGCTTATGTATATTAATGTTTTTTATTTATCCCCTCTCTTTAATGAAAGATCAGAATTGAACTCTCTGGGCTAGATTTAATGTTAAAAGCAAGTGTAAATTGCTCTGTATTTTTTGTTTAAAAAAAAAAAAAAAACGGTTAAAGCAGGACTAGGTATAAGGTGTATAGCAGTTGATGTTTTGATGACTAAGAGGAGGGAACTCAATGACAAATTTGTTTAGACTGGAAAAAAAGAAGAACTTAATAAGTACTCTTTGGCTAGGTATAGACATTCAAAAAACCTGAGATGGAATCAATCTTAAGTTACACTTTTCTGCAAGCAGCATAATTTAGATCGGTAGTGAACGGAACACACATTCACCCTTTGGTGGAGGGGCAAATCTGAGATTAGGTTCTGCCATTTTTAAAGGAGTGTATGCATGCCAAACTTGTTCCATTACAGGTATAGACCAGTTTCCAATCACTTATACTGGTTATTCTGTACCTGGCCTTTGAGTCTACATGAAATTATCATCTTAATAACTTTTCTTTTAACTGATTTCTTAATTTGTATGGCTGCAAGTTCAGAGATTCTGTCTCTAAACCAGTAGTTCTCAACCTTTTTAGATTCGAGGCACGCATCAGAAAGTGCCAACTCTTAGTTTTCACTTTTCTTTTACTACAAAATAAATAAATAAAATAATAATAAGGAAATTCTTCTGTTGCAAAGAACTCAAAAAGACTACAACATAGCAGAATGTTTTTATACTATGGAATCTCAGGGCACCTATACATGAGCAACGATTAATCGAGTCTGCTGGAGTGGGGCAATTACCACATTCCAGCAGACTCCAGCGTTTTGTGTATCAGCATCCCTGTGCTTAAAAATGGTGGTGGGGGCGCTTTATCTAATGCTTATTTGACAAGCTTTAGATAAAGCACCCTTGCCACTGTTTAAGTGTGGGGATGCTGATACATGGGATATGCCAGGCACTTTAATTCAAGCAACTCTTAGAGCCACTTTAATTAAAATCCCTCCCCCGCCCCACACTCTCAAAGCACATGTATAATCACACTCAGAATTTATCTTGTGAATCATGTTTGTACCCCTAACAGTGCTAACATTGCATGGCACCCTGTAGCACCCTTGAAAGGATCTCAAGGCATCTCCAGGTGTCATTGTACCCAAGTTGAGAATCACTACTCTAAACCATTTCACATTCTGTTGGGTCACTGCTAATTTTATAAAGGTGTATTGTGGAGATTTAAGATTTTTCTTATAAATTAAATGAAGTAAAAATGGTGTAAAAAAAAAAAAGTCACTGAAACTGTTTTTGATGAACCAAGACACACACGTGCATGCTGTTTAAAAAAAAAAA